AGCCAAGACCAAACCCAGAAGCTTACAGTCAGCCATCGTGATGAGCTTTGCTTATCTCGTCAAAGAGGAAAGATGGTGTGTTCTTGAGAGCTGCATGAAAGGAGTCAGGCAGGAAGTGGTTTTTAGGTGCCTGTAATAATTAAAGGAGAAGTTGACTGCTTCTTCACTGATGCATGCAAAGTTACATATAAAGACCAATCACCCCCCAAAAGAACATTTCATACAGAAAATCTGTATATTAGATATTAGCAGATTTAAAAAATCAATCAATCAATCATTTGAAAAAGACATGGAATTATTTATTGGATGATGCACACAGACTTTTCAAGAAATCTGTGAAATGATAAATGGACTGATTCTTCTTTTCTACTTTCCCAGAGCACTCAAAGCGCTTCAGACAACATGCCTCTTTCACTCATTCACACAAGCACTTTTTTCTGTTCTTAAGTGCTTTCTAACAGTCACACACATTCAAAGTGCAATGGATGCATCCCCTTGCGTTAGATAACTTTCTGGCACTACTCCATAACTCTCTGAGCACTGTTCCCAACATCAATCATTTTAATTGGGTCCTTTTGACAGTTTTAAGGGCAAAAGTCAGATATCAAACATACTGCAGAGAGAAAACAATGAATCCTCCTGACAGCTTTGTCAGGTTTGCTGCCAGGGGTGGGCTACTATATCTGTTAAAGAAGGGTTTTTCACAACTTTGGCAACTGGAGACAGGCAAAAAGTGTCCCAGGTGCACTCTCAGGTGGTCAAAATTTGTTTACTTCATGGGTTAGAGATGGGTGGTTCACCACCTTCTGGCAGCGGAGAGGCTCCCAGGTGCAGCTTAGTGGGACCAAGTTTATTTAACTCTTTGTTTGGACTAGTTACCACTGGCCATAATACAATCAAAGGTTACTTTTTGTTCCTAATCACTACACTTCAGACAGTATTGATCACATATGCTCATTCAACAAGTGGCACAAACTTCCTTAATATACTTGTGAATAATATTTGATCTAAAAGTGTGGGTCTTGTGATCTTAAACATGCAGGTTAAATGCTTATCACAGTGATTCTATTAGATAAACACTCAAGTGTAGGTATGTATACAGTGTATACAAGTATATATGGTGACATAGTATATATGTGAGTATATGTTCAGTGTAAACAGGTATATATGTCATAAAAAATCCACAACAGTGTAGAGAAAAGAATTACAACTCTCAATAACTTCTAGTGAGAGCGACAGTAGATTTTCTTAAAATAATTTGTGATCAGCTGACCTGCTGCTTTTTATGGATGTACGCACCTGAATTAATCCAGATGTCAGCAGATGTTATATAAGTTGTCCTGGTTGATTTCCATCCTCTACACCGAGAGTACACTGTTTATACTGTCTTTATATTGGACACTCTAAAGTTGGTATGAAGGTGGAATTCAGTGAATGGATCTCAGCATCATCACCTAAAATTCATATGAATATCTGCTGCACTTGATGTAACACAACTCTGACCCAACTCTGCGCACAGGTGATGATGCTCCCCAGAAAACTGATGATAGCCAAGATCAAACCTAGGATCCGCCTACAGCCAGCTGTCATGATGAAGCTAAGCTGATGGTTTTTCTTGAAAGCTGCAGAAAAGACTTCTGCAGGAAGTGGCTGAATCTGGGTTCCTCACTTAAGCATTACATTTTTTTACTTTACACTCTGAACCACATCTCTGTATAACCAACCTGAGTGCCTTCTTGGTAATTACCATAGTGTTAAACTATAGATTATCTGTTTCAAATTATCAGTGTGACGTTGTCAGGTTTTTCCCTATAATTGTGAAGCTTTCAGACTCCCAATCACCACACCACTGCCTTTGTGTTTGAAACATCATCAACAAAAAGTATAGCAAAAACAAAAATCCTAAACAGCCACATTAGCAAATGCAGACCTTGATTAATAAACAAATTTAAAAAACAAATAAATAAGCAAAAAAAAGAAAAATATTTTCAGAAACAGACAATCAGATAAGACCGTGCAACTTAAGATAAATATGTATATTAAAAAATATTGTGTACTGTTATGACTGTTTTTTCTTTACTAAAGAAAGGCATAGTTAAACCTGCTCCACTGTATCTTTTTGATGCTTAAACTTACACATCCAACTGCTACTACATCATTTTAATATTGAAAATGATCTATACAAGAATGTGTGTGTTTCCTTCCACCCCTATAAACAAAACATCAAAATAGTAAAAAAAAAAAAAAAAAAAGGTAAACTTTCTTTGGAAACAGACAAACAGCAATAAACAAATTAGATCAGTCAGTCTTCACATGTAAATGCTGGGTTTGATTCTAATCTGTTGAAGCGTGAAACATTTAGCAGAGGAAATAAGCACTGAAAGTAGGCTGAACTATATAAAGAACAGCTTAGAGAGAACCGCAGTCTAGTGATGGGCTTTCCGGCTCTTTTTAGAGAACTGGCTCTTTCGGCTCGGCTCACTAAAAAGAGCCGGCTCTTCAGGTTGTTTTGTTGCTTTAATTAATTTATTATTAAGAATAATATAAAATTGTGCACAAAAGGAATTACTAATGTAAAAAAAGTGGTTTTATTTATATATGTTTATATATAAATATTTATGGTGGCCCCTAAAGCATGTACAAACTCCAAAACACATTTCTAGCATGAACTGAACTTCCAAAACTGAGCTACCTAGATCACTTAAATTACACAATTGAAAGCATGAAAGCATATGTGTATTGTTTGTGTATTTATACACAAGCACTGTATATATTCAAATAATTTAAAAAAAAAAGTTAATTTACCTGTTACTACCACACACCAAATCGGGTCGTTGGTACTTCCTGGCTTTTGTAACCACTAGGTAACAAAAGCTCAGCACTGCCCCCAGCATCCTGGAGCACTTCTGTTGTGTTTTGTACGTGTTTTGTAGTTTGTACATGCTTCAGGGTTTGTACGTGCATCAGAGTTCGTACGTGTTTTGAAGTTTGTACATGCTTTGTCTGTAGGGGCCAACGTAAATATACTTTTATTTATTCACTCCACATAAAAATAAATAAATCATATAATACAAAAACCAACTATTCACAGTTCAACTTTTAACTAATTAAATTTTCAGCTTTGTCCTTTTAAACTAATTTAAAGTGAAACAACACAAAACACTGCAAACCACAACACAATTAAATATAAATTAAAAT